GTCTGGTAGCCATGATAACGATGTGCGGGGAATTTTTGGAATTTGTCAATTATCAATGCAGATGTTGAATGGCTGTATATGTTTATGATTTATCCAGGCATCAGTTATGTAGAAGTCAAAAACACTTCAGTACACAACAATAGTAGATCAACGTGTGTGTGTGTTTGTGACAAAAGATTAGCAAAATGGGAAATGTGTTAGGGAGGAGGAGTTCGCAATTTGCACACGTGTGTTTTTATAACCAGAGATTAATTCGATATGCAATGCAATTGAACACTTGTTTTATGTTCCCTGGATGTGCATATTTAGTAAATGTGGTTTACAAGGAGTCTAAAAAGACAGCTGTGGACAAATTGGTAATCATCACTTTGTGGTTTTCTGGCAAAATTTCCTGAGGAATTTTTAATTTTTTGGAAAATTTGTTATTGTTATTAGTTAATTAAAAAAATGGTATCACAATGGCATACGAATTCAATGTTTTATTTTAAACAGGGTCTAATTATCCGATACCCCTTACATCTACTTCTGCCTTTGAATGTATTGATATATGCTATGGTCTACAATAGTATGCATTAACATATCAGAGACCCGATCAAATATATATCTTCAGTAGTAAAATTATATTCCGATTTAGCTATATCCGTCGATATTTAAGTATACCGATCGTCATATCTCGACTAGCTGAGTCGATCTAGACTTGTGTGTCCGTCCGTCTGTCCGTCCGTCCATTATAAGTTGCAAACACGATACAGACCACAGTTATGGACCAATCTTCACGAAAATTTGCATGTAGGATGGGTTCTGGCCAATGAAGACCCCTATTGTTTTTGGTAAAGATCGGTAGATATTTAGGGGATGAAATGGACCACATACTTAATTTTTGTCGGTTTTTCTGGTCGCTCCAGAGGCCGCAATTATTGTTAATTGGACTCTGACTTTTGTGTGAAAAATTACAAAATTTGAATTCTGTGGCTTATATATTTACTCCTGAGGGATATAGATCCGATAAGTTGATAGTATATCCAAGAGATGGATCTTTAAATTGATATATATGTACTCGGATATGGGAGTTACACTTAAATATTTACAGGTGCTTACGTATTCTGATATTATTTAGATACCCATTACCACACTAGAGGGCGGAAACATGGCGATGATCGCTTTGAAATTTTCAATGAAGTTCCATTTATGGTCATTGACAACGCCTATAATTTTCGATGATGATCAGAATAAAATTTTGGGATGAAGTGGACCAAACTTATTTTTTGTGTTTCGAATATAGGCAGAACATCTCAACACAACCCACCGTGAAGGGAACCTTGACAAGTAACTAGAAGGGCTGTACTGAATATTTATAATATTCGGAAAATGTGCTGTTGACCCCTCTAATCTAGCAAGTCGCGGCAAATATTACGAAATATTGCTCAGGCTCGGAATAAACATCCGCAGAAAGTTAGAGTTCCTTGGTAGTTGTGTAGGGTATCGTATGGTCGGCCCCGTCCGACTATACTGCTCCGCTCACTGGTTTCAATATAGGTTCATCTTTTGACACATCCCGCATACAAGTTGTTTAATCATCCTCCCTAAAGAAATGGTTATATATGTTTTATGATATATAGGTTTTTTTTTTAACGAAGGCGTTGTAATTTGCCAAGAATTAGTTAATATTTTCTTATAATCATATAATGCACCATGCCACTTCATGCACTAAAATTTTGACAGAAACGTCTCTTGGTTGTAATAATATCCGCCGACAAAAGACCAAATCGACGAAATATGTAGACCCTAAATATATTGCCGGATCATAGTTGTGAAAAAATGGATTAGACCCTTTTACGAAAATGGACATTATTTTCATTGAACTATAGGACGGTCTTCATTTACATGTAATAATCTTCAAACAGTAAAATATTTGGACCATACCATCAAAAAAAATTTTGATTTAATTCAAATCTACACTAATTCAAGAATGCCCCTACAAAATTTCAAGCGAAAATCTCAAGAACTCTTGAAAATATAGCCGATTTATTGTGTCAGCATCAAGTGACGGCTAAAGGGCTTCCCAACCTTTAACGCGTTTTTCTAAAAAAACTAATAACCCAATCGATTCCAAATTTTTACACGTTTCTCTGTGAGTGTATAGCTATCGTATGAACTAGGATAAAGCTAATCGGTGAAGATCTTCCTTATTTTTTAACTTAGTTTTGTGGTAAAAAAATCGGAGATTTTCCAAAAATATTGTTACGACTACTAACATGCTTCGATCATTTCTCCGATTTTATCGACATTTTCGATGGATTTACTTTTTCCCAACCGAATATAAATATTAATACATAATTTCAAAATTTTACCCAAATATCCTTCTTAAAAGCTCTGTTCTCTATTTTTAGCTCCTGGGCGATATTACGACTGCTAACAGCCGGTCAACCTCGATAATTTCTCCAATTTTATAATAGTACTTCTTTTTTACAATAGCACTTCTTTACAATAGTACTTTTTTTGTAATACCATTACAGTATTTGGTTTCCAACATAAAATATTTGGAACTTTTTAGTCTAAGCGAGGCATATATCGACATATAAAAACCCCTATTACTTCTTCAACCAATCACAAATGTTTGTCGCGGGGAAATTCCTCTGTAAGTTGTGTTATCAAAACTAATTCACCCTAATATGGTTTGTTGATGGTAATTTCTCCTCAAAAACAGGGAAATTCTCTATCAGTTGCTGCAAACGTTACAACTTGAGTAATACTGTTTATTGGAATTTATTTTCCCTTTATTAAGATGGGATTTCCTGCATTAAGGGACAGGCATAATGAATAAATCCTTTGTTTTTCCCGCAATGTAAATATTTTTAAATAGGAATTTTTGCTAAAATCGAAGGGAATATCCGCATGAATGAAGGAAATCAGAAGGATGTTTTTTTGTGACAAGGGGAAATATTGAGGTTTTCAGAAACATTATTCGCTTTCAATATAAATGGGCATATTTATAATATCAGGGAGTTATCAATATCAATTTATATCAACATTTTAATAATATCATGAATATCATGAGTCTCTTTTTAAATTGTGAGAAAATATATTTCTTTTCATAAAGGAGGTATTTTATAATCATAGATTTTTTTTTAAGTTGAAGGAAAAACTTTTGTGTCTTACACCAGAGAATAATAATAGAATTCAATAAGTAGCTTATTTTAGGATATATTGTTTGAAATAGGGTTTAAAATTTGTTTTCAGAAATTGTTTTAGGAAAAAAATGTTTTTTATAAATGTTTTTTTTATATTTTTTCGTTTTATAGATATGTTTCTATGTTTTAGCCTCAACAATTTTGAAAACTTTTGAATTTCATTCTCCGGGCCTAATTTTATATTTTTGGTATAAAATGTTCTCAATGCAACAACTTGTACCAAACTGAGCCGCTTACAACCGTTTAAATTTTTTTTTTCAGAAATGTATATTTTATGATCTAAGCTTAAATAATAAAAAAATTTAAGCCTATATTACAAATGTAGTTTCAATGGAAAATTAAAATTTCGGTTTGTGAATAAAATAATATTTGATTTTTAGCTTTCTTTCATTTTATGCTGTTTTTTTGGATAAGAACAAAATACACATTTGTCCAAATTACTTACTGAGTTCGATATGAAATATTCTATTGATGCGGTTTCATATTATAGATATCATTAATTAGTCCATTAAAAATGGTACTAACTCTCACCAGCTGTGTTTTATTATAATTAATTGTAGATATTAACAGGTACTTTGGCCGAGAAAAGATCAGTGAGGATACAACCTGCTGTATCAACATAATTGAGTATGTTTTACAAGTGAGAAAGACATACAACCACAACTCTTTTGTGTTAAAGCAATTCCCTTCTCTCTAGGAGTTTAACGACAAAAAAATATCCCCATCTCGGTATGCTCTTCTTCTTCTTGTACAACTCAAGAAAATAACAATGTCGATATATCTCACAGTATTAAGGCTCTCCACTATTACTCACGGTCTTCATTAAATCCCCATTTAATGCTCACATTAGGCATGACACACATAGGCACAGCACATCTCGCACACACGTCCACATTTAATACAAAATAAATACTCTGGCCTCTGGCAGATGACAATTCTCAGACGACGACCAACAAATGGGGGAATTGAATTTCCCACGGAATTTCATATTGCATTGATTTCGTTTCCCAACCAACAACGGTAGGATTTGTCATAGTCTCTGAGGTCTTTTGGTTGTCGTTGTTTGTGTATAGAGTGGATGGCTAGAGCGCACAGATGTTTTTCCCTGAGAACACTCTCACACAATCCACTCTACAAATGTAACTAACTCTCCCTTAACCAGCACTAAATGGGTCTCTCCGGTGGTTTAGCCATATGTTTGCTGGCCTCTTGTGCTCTTATCACAGACAGGCAGCCAGGCAAAATTTTGGGAGATAGGCGGAGTTAGCTGGCGCAGGTATAAATAGTCATGCTCTGAGTATGAAGAGCTCACAACGAGTTTGTTACTCAAAGCGTCAACAATACCAAAAGAAAACGCAAGCGGAATTAATATTTTTAAAAAAACACAAAAATATTAAAGAGAAAAAAACTAAAAATACACAGATTGATAATATCTGTTGAAGACCAAGCGCTAAAACAAAATACGGATTACGGTTCAAAAAGAAAAAAATCACAGCAGCAACACTAATAAAACCAAACTGTGGATTACAAAGAAAAAACCAAAAGTGTTGGAAAAAAATAAAAGAAAAAATTAAAAAAATTTTCAAATAAAATAAAAAATAATATTTTATAAACATAAAAGCCAAGAATAGTGTTGAGTGTGGATTTTTCTAAAATTTTGGAATATTGAAAAATCACACCATAACCAACAATAAACCTCGCAATAACAAAAACAAAAAATATTGAAAATCATAATTTAAAATAAATTTTGAAAATTTATTAAAAAAACACACACACCTTTCGCCACGGATAACTAAGCAAAGGCAACGTTTTTAAGCCCAGCAACCCGTTACAAATAACAGCCGCCAAAATTCTACTCAAAGAACGTAAAGACATCATTTCCAAAATGAAATCCTTGACGGCCGTTTGCCAAACCGGTGCCTCAATGCCCGCCATCAATCCCAATGGTCGCATCAGCCGCCATCCGCCACATCGCGGCGATGGTGAAAATGCCGAAATGAAAATGTATCTGTCCAAGCTGAAGGATTTGGTGCCGTTCATGCCCAAAAACCGCAAACTCTCCAAGTTGGAAATCATCCAGCACGTCATCGATTACATTTGCGATTTACAGTCGGAATTGGAGACACATCCCGAAATGAATAATTTCGATGCCAGTGCAGCGTTGAGTTTTGCCGCCAACAGCATGGACAGTGATGAGGGTGCCGACGACGAAGATATGGCCGAGGAGGACAGTGAAGTGCAACAGCGTTTAAGTGCATCCGCCACACAACAGCAACAGTATCAATCTAGTCCTGCTCAGCGTCAGCCATTGGTTGAACGTCCCACACCCAACTCGATTTTACCACCCGCCTCACAACAACAACAGCGACAAATTAACACCGCCGTTACAACAGTCTCCACATCCGCCTCCTCTGCTGTGGCAGTAACATCATCATCATCGCCATCAGCAGCTTCTGAAGAAACAGCCAGCTCCCAACAAACTTCAACGAATCAACACACGGTAAGTTCGTTGAAAAAGTATTAGGACGGCTGCCACAACACTCCACCACCCCCCTCATCCTCCCACACACAACACAAAACACCCTCACCAAGAATATTAGACTTAGAACTGCAGAGAGACTGTAAGGAAAATGTTTTGAAAGAAAAAATGGAAACTGATTGTGTGAAAGAAACTCCACTTCACTATTATCTATGGGCCCCATGGGCAATCCCCAAAAACAACAACAGCAACAAATATGGAAAAATGCAATTTTTGTTGTCTTCTCCTCCTCCTCCTCCTCTTCACTCCAATCTAATTTTATTTGTTAACCTTATTTCGTACTGTCCTCTTTTTTATTTTCTTAGAAAAAAAGACTTTTAATTTTTTTAAAAGCGTTAATGTTGATTTTTTTTATAAATATAAATATATAAAACCTTAAAAAAACAAAACCTCAAATGTTTAAGTCACTTGAATTTAAGTACCGTAAATGTGAAATTAACAATAAAAGTCAAACTTTCAGTTATTAAGATAAAAACAAACCAACCTATAATGCAATTTTCATTTGAATATTTTTTTTTTTGTTTTCATTATTATTATTTTTTTTATTAATTTTCATTACAAATCATTAATTTTTTGTATTTTCCTAAGAATTTGTGTATATTATTATTGTAGTTTTAAGCTATTACAGATAATGAAAAAAAGAAGAAAATCAATGATGATCTTAAATCTGTGTAAATAAGTTTTAGTATATAAATTGTATGTTTTAAGTATAAAAAAAAAAAAAAAACTCTGAAAAAATAAAAAACAAACAACACACAATCACTTGTGTGTTAAAGAATCAATATAAACTAAAAAATATTTGTTTTGGAAATTCATTTCATTTTCTTCTATTAACTGGAGGTTGGATTTTACAAAAATGTAAAAAAGGAAAGCATTGGTTATTGGAATGGTTTCAAATATGGTTTGGGAAATATTTAGAAACCTTTATTGGGAAATTGAATATTTGTATTTCTGCTGGTAAATGTCTGCGAGAGCTATATAAAATTTTTTTGCTTGTAAATTGTATTATGAAAATATTTAATTTTGTAATGCCGTCGGCAGTTTAGGTTATGGTGTTTATTGCGGATTTTTTTATTTTTTAGTTATGTGTACAGCAAAATGGTGTGGACTAGTAACAGTTAAATATATTCCATTAAAATTTATGAATTTTTACAAGTGAAACAATGTAATGAAAATGGAAAGTTCAGTATAATATCCAGTGCTATTTTCGAAATTCTCTGCCGAAGTTTACTTATGTGGAAACCAAACTAATGGGAAACGTGTTCAGTTTATATGTTGCAGGGTATACTAGCTATTAGACGTTTGGAACTCTCTAACACGCATAATTTTTATACAAATAAATGATTAAACATGAATAAATCGGCAACAAAATAACTATAGATGGTGGTAATATTTTCTTCATTTCAAATGACTTTTTTAGATGTATATTTCAGATGTATATTTCAGAAAAATAAATCCATAATTTTTAGATAAACTATTAGAATTTATTTAACATGCTTCGGAATGTCCGATTTGAGCCAAATATGCACCGTTATGTTGTATGATTTGTTGCCATTTTAAAGGTATTTATCGATCATTTCTCCGATTTTATCTACATTTTCGACGAAGCGACAATTTTTTGCGAGGTGCATCTTTAACATTTAAAATTCCTGAACGGAATCAACGAAACAAAAATTGCTGTTACAGTATCGGAACCATAAACACTTTTAACACCCTGTAACTCACAACTGAATGCTTCAAACAAAAAAACAACAAAATATTTTTTTAACTGCGAAATGTCACCCTTCCAACGATCATAAATCTGTAGGGGAGACTGGGGCACCTTCGCACTTTTTGTTTGGAGCTCTATATCTCAGTACTTATTCAATATATTTAAAAACTTTACGGCTGATTATTGTCCTCTGATAATTAATTATAAAAACTAGTACTAACACATATAATAAATTAGTATTGAACATTTTTACAGTTTTGTAAAAAAAGTCAAATTCGCCGAATGTGCCACCACCCGGGGTAACTTCGGTATTTGATAGGGCACATTCGGCACCATAGTCATAACCTGGTAACTTTTACCGCTATCAGTGTGGTTGAAATTCAGGTCCTCTAAGTATTCCATTTTGTTTTAATATGCGACTCAAAGTTTGACTTTAAAGGCTATATTTTCAAGCGGCGGACGTTAACGTATTAAAGCCACACACACTATCAGAAATAGCTTTTTCTATCGTATTTTCGTCAATGCAAGCACGTTTGGTCTTATATATGTAATTTCGAACCATACAAAAGATTATTTTTAAAAAAAAAACTCAAAAACATTTTAAGGAAATAATATTGCACTATCTGCATATGGCCGAATGTGTCCCAATTCAAAATACCGAATCTACCGGAAGATACTTTTTATAGTTTTTTTCATTAATTTCTAACAATCTTCTAAAACCATTATATTTTTAATTATTTTTATATGGATATACGTTGTAATTAAAGACTTCTTAATAGTACTGCCTTAAAATATTAAAAGTTTTATACACGAAATACTTACGAAATGGAATGGAAATATTACAAAAACATCTGTAAAAATCCAAAAATCGTGAATCTAAAAAAGTCTATTAGCTAGAGATTTTAAACTTTACGACAGTTCTTTATTTTGATATTCGAAAGCTATGTATCGAAGCTAGTGATGTACGGTGAGAGCTTCATATCGAAAACGCGATTGCCGAATGTGCCCCGATGCCGAAGGTGCCCCAGTCTTCCATATTATCAGCATAGTCATCTGCCGAAAAAATAGTGGATTTTTTCCCTAAACTAATATATGAAAAGTAAAAAAAATATATATATGGAAATTGTGAGGAATACAACTTTTTGGAAATTGCATTTTCGGAAAGGGGACACTGTTAGCCCTTTTAAGATTCGCACATCCAACCCAACTTATTTATCAATAATCAGAAATCCTTATTTGGACTAGATTCGAACTTTTTAATAAATCCTTTAATAATATATGTAAAACACATATTGGGATAATGTTCCGAAGCTCGGCATGAGCCATTAGTTTCCAACCCTTGTAAATGTTTATGAAAAATTTAAAATTTTAAACAAATTTCGGTAAACTTTATCTAATAAAAAATTCCTTAAATCCTCCCCCCCTCTATGTAAATGGGTCAATTTTCTAAAAGGCATCTTGTTCAAACTTAAAAAAAAATTAAATAAAAACACGCTTAAAAATAATAATGAAGCATTACTAAACAGTAAAAAATATAAAAAATTGATTTGTAGGTACAAACGTGACGTTGCATAAATGCAAACATAACTTTTCGAAATATTTAACACTATTTTCTGGAAAATCGGAAAATTTAACATTAATGGGACCTATTTAACCCAACTCTTTTATTTATAAATGTACATATTTAATCTCGGAACGAAATGGGTAAAGTTCTGCCGGTCAGGTGGATATTCAAATCACCACGATATCTTTATATGTCGCATATATTTTAGAATGGACTCAGCATGGGAGATTTTCTACTCAATAAGAATCCAAAAAATAAAGTGAAAACATGTCAAAATTTTAGCGAATATGTGGAGGTACTATTACCATTTTCAATACCAAATATTCTAGATATTGCAGCAAAATGTCAAAGTTATATTTTTAATATTGCTAGCTCTATCGCGATTTCAATAGACAGGTATGGCTAAATCGGCATACAATTTTATTCTGAGCAAGATTACATATCGAGGCGTGGAAAGCGGAATGACAAATTTAATATTCCATCATCTGATGAAGGGCATAAAACAGATTATTATACAAGAATAGACATGGTTTTGGCTTTAAATCCTAATATCAGTGTATCCAACACTATTGAGTATAGGATAACATTTTTGGGGAACGAGTAATTTATATATCTATTAGTAATCGTTGTATCCTTCATATTAATTTTTCTGGATATAATGAAATACACACTCCCTGAAATGAAGTCATTATTTTTTTGTATTCCTTGAAAGTTTTTTTTCAATATCCAACGAATAGTAAAAAAATAATTTGAAATCGATTTGCTTACAATGCATTTCCCCCTGCATTTCTTTTACATTGTAAATCAAACTGCCATCTGTTCGATAGAAATCAAATTACAAAAAAAAAACCTTGAATAGAATTTGCGTTTGCAGTTTAAAGGTGACACAAAGTAATTTCCATTTTAATGCATTTTCTCGCCATTGTAGAGTAATTTCCTTTGATATAGAATTTTTGTTTGTATATATTCTTACATACATACATGCATTGCTTACTTATTTCCATTTCTATACAGTTCAAAGTAATTTCCATATTTATAAATTGACCCACAATTCTAGTCATGTGTATGTATGTATGTACTTATGTATATATTTGTGTTTGTTCTATAGTCAGATGGTCACAAAAGAAATTCAAATTCAAAACTACATAGACTCTGAATTCGTTAAAATTGAATGTGATACAAAAACGTTTTGTCCCAAATACAATGCTAATTGAATAGTCAAATGCAATGACAAAAAACAAACGCACACACACAAAGCAAGTGAAACAATTCAACAAAAGCTAGAGTCGTCAGATATGATCATTTGATAACTTACCTTAGAACTTACAATGTTATGACAGCGAAGTTTTGAGGTTTGTCAATATCTTTTTTTTCAAAAAAAAAAAGAAGATTAGATGTATAAGTTTTGATTTATGTGTATTATATTCGAACCACTTTTTATTACATATTCTCTTAGAAACGACATCGACTTATAAAAAAGAAAACAGCATGAATATCCCTAATAAAGTTTCCTTGACTCTAGAAATTCTCTCAAAATACAGAGGTTATTCTAAACCCCTGTGAAATATAAATGTTCAACGGTAAGATATCGTAAATGCTTATGCTATCGTGAATATTTTAATATAAAATGGAAAATAGAAGAGTTAGTCAAAAAGTCGCTGTTTCAGCTCGCATTGGCATGGAACA